CGGTGTGATGATGATGATGTTGTACCCGCTGCTGCTTCCTTTGCTGAGTTGTCAGATACAAGTGAAGCGGTTGATGATGACGATGCGTCCATGGATGTCACGTGGGTGCCCGCTCGGCAAGAAGAAGAACAGGGCGAAAGTTCAGATGGGGAGACAGAGAGGAGGAGGAGATGAGTTGGAAGCAGGTGGAGGTCGTCGTAAGGAGCCAGTGGCACAGTCAGACAGCATGCATCGGCACCCGGGGTCAGCCCGACAGCACGCTAATCAACGCATGCTGTGTCCACCACCAGAATGCCGTCATTGCAGAGCTCAGCAGTGTGGAATTTTTTTTGTGTGTCTGCCTCTGACAACAGCGATGCCATTTGCAACCTGTGCCAAAAGAAACTGAGTCGTGGGAAGTCCAACACCCACCTAGGTACAACTGCTTTGCGTAGGCACATGATCGCACATCACAAACGCCTATGGGATCAACACATGAGTACAAGCAGCACACAAACTCAAAGCCGCCATCCTCCTCCTGGTCCAGCATCTTCAGCCACGTCAACCACTGCTGTCCTCCTTGCCCCCTCTCAACCATCCGCCACTCCGTCTCTCGCCTTGAGCAGTTCCTGCTCATCTGCCCACAGTCAGGTGTCTGTCAAGGACATGTTTGAGAGTAAGAAGCCAATGTCAGAAAGTCACCCCCTTGCCTGGCGTCCGAGAGCTGGCTTGTCTGTACTATTAGCCCGCCAGCTTTTACCATACAAGCTGGTGGAGTCTGAGGCGTTCAAAAAATTTGTAGCTATTGGAACACCGCAGTGGAAGGTTCCCGGACGAAATTTCTTTTCACAAAAGGCAATCCCCAACCTATACTCGATTGTGCAAAAGGAAGTAATGGCATGCCTGGCACACAGTGTTGGGGCAAGGGTCCATCTGACCAATGATACCTGGTCTGCAAAGCATGGTCAGGGCAGGTATATCACCTACACTGCGCATTGCGTAAACCTCCTGACGGCTGCCAAGCATGGAATGTGTGGCTCTGCAGAGGAGTTGGTGACACCGCCACGACTTGCAGGCAGGCCTGCTGCCACCTCCTCTACTCCCTTCAATGACATCAGTGAGGACAAGGAACGGGACATGGCTAGCTTGTTATCCAACCTTGTGCAAATGGGGAGTTTGCGGTTGTGCAAATGGACTGTTTGCGGTTGTTTGCGGTGCGTTTAACGGGGAGTTTGGTCTGTCACTGTGAAGCAGGCGTAACCCTTACACTACCTGATTGATACAACATCATACAGTAGGTCCCCCCCTCATTATTTTTATGGCCCCCACCCACCACTCGCGTTAAACGGGGAGTTTGGTCTGTCACTGTGAAGCGGGCGTAACCCTTACACTACCTGATCGATACAACATCATACAGTAGGTCCCCCCCCTCATTATTTTTATGGCCCCCACCCACTGCTCACGGGTGGGGGCGGGCTGGAGGACAGTAGGTCCCCCCCCATTGAGATTTATGGCCCCCACCCACCGTGCAGGGGTGGGGGCCAGGGGGGAGGACAGTAGGTCCCCCCTTATCCTTATTTACTGAATATTCCCTGTATAACAATGTTTGGCATTTAGTGAATATTCCCTATTCTGCTCTGTGTCAGTGTGTATCAGGGATCCTTAGGATAGGTGTCAATCCATATCTGCCAAGTGACCCTATGTAGGGGGAACAGTCCCTATTCCGCTTTGTGTCAGTGTTTATCAGGGATCCTTAGGATAGGTGTCAATCCATATCTGCCAAGTGACCCTATGTAGGAGGAACAGTCTCTATTCTGCTTAGTGTCAGTGTGTATCATGATCCTGAGGACAGGTGTCAATCCATATCTGCCAAGTGACCCTATGTAGGGGAACAGTCCCTGTTCTGCTCTGTGTCAGTGTGTATCAGGGATCCTGAGGATAGGTGTCAATCCATATCTGCCAAGTGACCCTATGTAGGGGGAACAGTCCCAATTCTGCTCTGTGTCAGTGTGTATCAGGGATCCAGAGGATAGGTGTCAATCCATATCTGTCAAGTGACCCTATGTAGGGGGAACAGTCCCTATTCTGCTCTGTGTCAGTGTGTATCAGGGATCCTGAGGATAGGTGTCAATCCATATCTGCCAAGTGACCCTATGTAGGGGGAACAGTCCCTATTCTGCTCTGTGTCAGTGTGTATCATGGTCTCTGAGGACAGGTGTCAATCCATATCTGCCAAGGGACCCTATGTAGGGGGAACAGTCTCTATTCTGCTCTGTGTCAGTGTGTATCATGGTCTCTGAGGACAGGTGTCAATCCATATCTGCCAAGTGACCCCATGTAGGAGGAACAGTCCCTATTCTGCTCTGTGTCAGTGTGTATCAGGGATCCTTAGGACAGGTGTCAATCCATATCTGCTAAGTGACCCTATGTAGGGGGACCAGTCTCTATTCTGCTCTGTGTCCGTGTGCATCAGGGGCTCTGAGGACAGGTGTCAATCCATATGTCAAGGTGTCAATATGTCATATGTCAGGTGTCAATCCATATCCATTGTGATTTAGGAATGTTAGGTGATTTCTGCCCTTTATGGATTAAGACCAGACTCTGCATCAACTGTGTAATTTTCCATTGGAGTTTTGCCATGGATCCCCCTCCGGCATGCCACAGTCCAGGTGTTAGTCCCCTTGAAACAACTTTTCCATCACTATTGTGGCCAGAAAGAGTCCCTGTGTGTTTTAAAATTTGCTTGCCCATTGAAGTCTATGGCGGTTCGCCCTGTTCGCCGGTTCGCGAACATTTGCGGAAGTTCGCCGAAAATTTAGTGTTCGCGACATCACTAATGCTGAACTTAATGCACTCAAGTCTCTTTTCAGCCCTGTAACTATGTATGACCCTGGATGTCCTAATGCTCTTTCAGCATCAGTGAAATCCCATAGGAAAGCCTTGAATTAATACTTTCCTATGGGGAGTACCTAATGTGCTTGCAGAACTGGCCGCGTATGCGCATTATGTCCCCCCCCTCGGGGGATGTCGGAAGAAGTGGATCTCCGACCCAGCACCGAGAGACCTTGGTGCTGGAAACTGGTGAGTAAAAAAAAAGGCTTATTTAACCCTATACATGCCGGAGGTGGGTTGCGCCAGAGGGATGGACCTGAGGGCACTATTGTGTTTGGAATACAACCTTATATTCCTAACACTATGAATTCCCTGTAATATTAATATTCTATAAATTGCATATGAAAAAACAGACATCCAGGGAAAATAAAAGGATAATTTATGGTCAAACATTGACTGTTCATGTGTGAACAGAGATTGATGAAAATCCCACTAGGTCATAGGCAGGTTACCAGTTTGTCCCCTACCTTGATTCTTCATATAAGGATGGTGAATAGGGTCAAGCAAATTTATGGTTCTTGGGCCTCCATCTAACCCTTTGGACCTTATGATTAACCCTGTGTCACAAACTTGTGTGTGACAATAAACTAAATACAACCAAAAAATGGGGTGAGCGCTTAGATCAAAAACACACTGTGTAGGTGCTTATATGTACATTCAGTGGTAATAAAAGCGACCAAAATAATAATAAATTATGTGCACGTGTTTCTTCGTACCAGCAGCACACAAAATGTAACACAACAATCAAATGAAATACCAAAACAATGGTGCGCTTGGACTACTTAACCTTATAATAGGCATGTCCCATTAACCAGCTCTCCTGTGGGACCTGCTCTAGGATTCTTTTGATTTGGTACCATTTTAAGCAACATTCTTCAGCCTATTAGTGTTTGTAAAGAATGTATGAATCTAACTTAGGAATAAAACACAGGATTCTATGCAGAGAAGGGAACCAGTGCACCATTGAAGAGTTGAAGAAAGTGCGCAGGTTCTTCACAGTGTGGGTTATTTCCCTCTCCAGTGAAACCATCTATACCCAGAGCCAGGAATAACAGGTCTCTGTAAAATGTGAGTTGAAATCCCGGATATACAGGGAGTGCAGAATTATTAGGCAAGTTGTATTTTTGAGGATTAATTTTATTATTGAACAGCAACCATGTTCTCAATGAACCCAAAAAACTCATTAATATCAAAGCTGAATATTTTTGGAAGTAGTTTTTAGTTTGTTTTTAGTTTTAGCTATGTTAGGGGATATCTGTGTGTGCAGGTGACTATTACTGTGCATAATTATTAGGCAACTTAACAAAAAACAAATATATACCCATTTCAATTATTTATTATTACCAGTGAAACCAATATAACATCTCAACATTCACAAATATACATTTCTGACATTCAAAAACAAAACAAAAACAAATCAGTGACCAATATAGCCACCTTTCTTTGCAAGGACACTCAAAAGCCTGCCATCCATGGATTCTGTCAGTGTTTTGATCTGTTCACCATCAACATTGCGTGCAGCAGCAACCACAGCCTCCCAGACACTGTTCAGAGAGGTGTACTGTTTTCCCTCCTTGTAAATCTCACATTTGATGATGGACCACAGGTTCTCAATGGGGTTCAGATCAGGTGAACAAGGAGGCCATGTCATTAGATTTTCTTCTTTTATACCCTTTCTTGCCAGCGCTGTGGAGTACTTGGACGCGTGTGATGGAGCATTGTCCTGCATGAAAATCATGTTTTTCTTGAAGGATGCAGACTTCTTCCTGTACCACTGCTTGTAGAAGGTGTCTTCCAGGAACTGGCAGTAGGACTGGGAGTTGAGCTTGACTCCATCCTCAACCCGAAAAGGCCCCACAAGCTCATCTTTGATGATACCAGCCCAAACCAGTACTCCACCTCCACCTTGCTGGCGTCTGAGTCGGACTGGAGCTCTCTGCCCTTTACCAATCCAGCCACGGGCCCATCCATCTGGCCCATCAAGACTCACTCTCATTTCATCAGTCCATAAAACCTTAGAAAAATCAGTCTTGAGATATTTCTTGGCCCAGTCTTGACGTTTCAGCTTGTGTGTCTTGTTCAGTGGTGGTCGTCTTTCAGCCTTTCTTACCTTGGCCATGTCTCTGAGTATTGCACACCTTGTGCTTTTGGGCACTCCAGTGATGTTGCAGCTCTGAAATATGGCCAAACTGGTGGCAAGTGGCATCGTGGCAGCTGCACGCTTGACTTTTCTCAGTTAATGGGCAGTTATTTTGCGCCTTGGTTTTTCCACACGCTTCTTGCGACCCTGTTGACTATTTTGAATGAAACGCTTGATTGTTCGATGATCACGCTTCATAAGCTTTGCAATTTTAAGAGTGCTGCATCCCTCTGCAAGATATCTCACTATTTTTGACTTTTCTGAGCCTGTCAAGTCCTTCTTTTGACCCATTTTGCCAAAGGAAAGGAAGTTGCCTAATAATTATGCAGATCCTTCATTCTGTGGGGTATTCAGTTCATATTAGAACACAATTATTTTCTTTTTGATCAATCGTTTTACTTGCAATTGGTGGGCACCGCCATGGGTACCAGGTTCGCCCCCAGTTATGCCAACATATACATGCGCAGGTGGGAGGACCTCTGCGTATGGTTGGGTCATGACTGGGTGGAGAACCTGGTCCTATGGCGGCGGTATATAGACGACGTTATCATTATTTGGAAGGGGTCGAATTCTGAATTTATGACTTTTGTCAACCATTTAAATCGAAATGAGTACAATTTAAAGTTTTCTCCAGTATGGGACCGTAGAGAAATCAATTTTTTAGATCTCACCCTTTTCAGTGAGGGAAATGAGATCAAAACCAAATGTTTCTTCAAACCAACAGATGGGAACAGCTATGTTCATAAACGTAGCTGTCACCATCAACCTTGGTTGAAGGGGATTACTAAGGGACAGCTCACTCGAGTTAGGAGGAACTGTTCCCATACTAAGGATTTTCAGGTACAAGCCCAACATGTAGCTAATAAATTAGTTAAAAAAGGTTATAATCAGAAGCAAATTAGGAGAGAGATTCAGGTGATGTCCAAAAGAAGTAGAAATGAGTTTTTAATGGATGGCCCTAGCAATAGGAAAAAGGGGGAAGACTTTAAGCAAGCTTTTTTTACACAATTTAATGTGGATCATCCAAAAATAAAAAGGAGTCTACAGAAATATTGGCCAATATTGTTGGAGGACCCCATTTTGGGGGAGCATTTGTCAAAAAGGCCAAAAATCATCTATAGGAAAAAACAAAATCTTAAGAACTTATTAGCACCTAGTTATGCTTTAAAAAATGGATTTAAAAATATTAAAAAAGGGATAAAAGGTTTCCGAGGTTGCAAAAGTTGTAAAGCCTGTTCTCAAGTAAACACAGATAAGGTTACATCATATAGTAGTTCCGTTACAGGGAAACTTTTTTCGATTAAATCAGAGATTGGCTGCCGCTCAGACTGTGTTGTATATTTGCTTCAGTGCCCATGTGGCAGCCAATATGTTGGTCGTACAAAGAGATGTCTAAAAGTGAGACTTCTGGAACATATTAACAACATAAAGAAAAAATTAGACACTCATTCAGTCCCCCTCCACTGTAATAATTGTCCCCTGTTTTCTTTGAAGGGACTACGCTGTATAGGGATAGAACAAATTCAACCCCATTGGAGAGGGGGTAATAAAGAAAAGCGATTGGCACAAAGGGAATCATATTGGATTCATAGGTTACGTACCCTTGCCCCAAGGGGATTAAACGTTGATATGGATATTGTCTGTTTTTTGAATTAACTAATTTTAAAGTATAAAGATACATTTGAAATCGATTATATATAACTCATGTCATTTTATTTAAATTTTATTTAAATGTTAAAATTAATCATGACATTGAGCATATAATTGGTTAATTATTTTCAGTCTACACAATATGGATATGTATTTTAGTATGTAATTTAGTGTGTATTAATTAATAAGCAATAATGTTCACTGGTCAATTGTTTTAGTTTATACAATATGGATATGTAATTGAGCATGTAATGATTAATAGATGTCAATTTCATTGCACTTAACATAATACATATTTGCAAATAAGTATAATATCACTTAAGTCACTTTAAAAAGATTATGCACCTTAATTGGTGCTGTCCATTATGTTAGTGTATTAGACATTAATGTCAATATATGGACATATGAATTTGTTAATGATTGGTTGCTATTATATATACTGATTTTTTGTAATATTATGATATATGTTTTTTTGTTATGATATATATTATGAATGGTCAACTTGGATAGGAAGTTGTTATACATTCATTATAAGAATTGTTTTTAGTGTTTCATTGTTAGAGGACAATTAATATAATATTTTAAATCCTCTCTTCTGATTTCTAACAGTCCTTTTGCCTCTAGTTTTGTGTGTACAATTATTAGGTAAAGAAAAACGATGCTTCCAGGCTGCCACTACGTGGAACGCACGTCCATCTTTGTTCCCGAATGTGGAACGCATAATGATCACGTGATAAATCACGAAACACGTGACGCGAACGTAACGCATGACGTATGCGGAAGTGACCGGTTCGGAACGAGCCCGGCTTTTTTCATTTCGATTAAGTGAACACACTTGAAGAAAAGAACCTCTGGACGAATAGGAGTCAGAAGAGGAGAGAACACCCACTATTCCACCAATGACTAGAAGGGATTAGCCCTATATAAGGTTATTCATGTGTTAGCGTTTTTAGGATGCTGTTTTTTATTCTCTGTAATTTTGGTGACTGAATTTTGTACTGAAAGAGGTCCCTGAGGAAGTCCTTTTGTATAAGGACGAAACGCGTAGGACCAGCATCTCTTTCTTATATTGTTTTTATGTATTTTTATATATACCTCTTGAATTTTATAAGTGAATAAATCGCCTTTGAAGTATTCCTTTGGTTGCATCTGCTTGGATCTTTTTGCTGACCCGGATACCCCACTGGCTATCACTTGAGGAGGGAGAATTAAAGGAGAATAAACCCCCCCTTTTTCAGTCTTAGGGGGAGGCACCCTGAACACGCTTATATTCTTTGGAATATGTGAGTGCATATTTTTTACCAGCGGTTTTATAGTGTGTAGCAATATTTGCACTATGTTTTGTCCTCTATTATAGGTACATCAGCAGAATCCCAAATATCCTATCAATCACACTGTTCTGCTATAAGGTTATCAACTGGGAAATAACCTTGGGAAGCTGTGTACCTTTCAGTTAAGTTGTTGTGTTATATCACTTTTTTCACGGGTGTCCGTGTTTCTGTTTAATAATTATGCACACCTGATATAGGGTGTTGATGTCATTAGACCACACCCCTTCTCATTACAGAGATGTACATCACCTAATATGCTTAATTGGTAGTAGGCTTTCGAGCCTATACAGCTTGGAGTAAGACAACATGCATAAAGAGGATGATGTGGTCAAAATACTCATTTGCCTAATAATTCTGCACTCCCTGTATACACTTTTTTGAAAGCACATTGATATTTTAGGTTTTGCTTTTTGTGACAATGAACTATCCTATATTTTATCTGATGTCTGTTATTTGCATCGAACTTAATTGTAGAGTTTGGCTAGTCCAGACTGTTTGGCAAAATAATTTTTTTTAAAAAGCTGTGTGCTGTTTCTATCTGTAAGACTAACATGTAGGTAAAAAAATAAACCATATCAATAATTCTAATATTTGAATAGTGAACAGGAATACTGCTTTGGCTTCTGTGCTTTTAGTTTTACTTTTCGAAAGTTGGTCCAGAATCTTTCTTTATAGTTCTAATGTAAATTTTCCTTTATAGATAATTGGCGTATGGGTCACCATGTGACTAACAGATCCATCCAAAGTATGATTTTATATTGCTCACATTTTACCGTTTTACTAATCTACATGTCTATATTTGGACTACAATGTCCATATTCACTTATCTGCAAAGGAGTCGAGACCTATAAGGTTTGTGATATTATACTTTCTCCAGTCATTGACCTGCCACTCTACCATTTTGTTTAGAGTTGAGCCAACTATTATTTTAGTGTCAAGGATGTCAAGGCCTGTGCAGTTCTTCACAAAGTCAGAGAGCTTAACCTAATTAAACTACTATTCTGACAGGTGGATTAAATGGGTAAATTCTACTGGGAAAAAAGACTGCTAAGATCACAGAGTAGAAATTAATGAACACATTTCTGTGTAAAAGGCTTTCCTTGTTTCCTCCAAACCGGTGGCTGATGTTGAAACAAAAAATAAAAATAAAAAAATAGGTGATTTGAGGAATTAGTATATAAAACAGCTATTTATCGAACCTACACTATTAGGAATTCCAATTATTTCACATAGCTTACAACTGATAGACTATTTGTGTCGACTTAATTTTTTTTTTATTACTTACAAAAAAAACAATGGCACTTTGTAGTGAGGCTGATAAACAATTCTAGTGATGGATGAAAATATTATCTTGATTTAATTTTTGTCCTGTGGGATTATCCCTTCAGAACATTTGTATTCGTCCCATGTTCTGTTATGATTTAATCTGCTGGTAGAACTGTCATAAAATAGACAAAGCTTGGAGAGTAGATTTCGACGACGGTGGCGTCGATCCCTTATTTCAGAAGTGTCACTGTTAAGGAATGTATTCTATAGATAATGCTTCTTAATTCTTATTTTGTTGTAGCGCTAAAAAAACAAAGTAACTGCTATGTGTTACTTTGAATGCAGTTTAAAGTCTGTGTTCCTATGTAATCTGCAGGCAAGCATTTTATATGGATTGTATGCATATGTGATAAAATTAGGTTTAATTTTGTTCGGCTCCAAAAGGACATCAGAACTAAAACTGTGTTAAGTTCATTTGTGGAAGCAAGAAAGCATACATTTGTGATTTGCTTTGAAATTCAACAGAGAAGATCGGAGTGATAAAACCAAAATCTGATCTTTGTTTTATTCATCTGACTACAATTGTAATAAAAGAGTCTTTTACATTAATATTACACTGTAAAGTCATCGAGGTGAAACATATATATCTTTTTTTATGTCTCTTTTAAATTAATTAATGACTGCCAGAATTGTTTACTGGATCTTACACTGTAGTTGCCCCTCCTCCACCCTTCAAAGCCTTTAGATAAAATAAAATAAAATAAAAATCACAATACATTTTAAAAATAAATAGATACTCACTAAACGTCCTTCACATACAGTGGATCTAGAATAATATAGTTCTTGTGTTTCAAGTACTTTTATTCATGAAAAACATGAATGAAACTACTTGACAACGTAAAATAGATGGATGTATTAATAGCTTCTTAAGTACAGGTGGCCCTTGTTTTTCGGCCTACCTGTTTTACGACGGCTCGCACTTACGTTTAGCTCTCTTGCGGGGTGGTAAGTGCGAGCCGTAATGGGATTAAGAGGGATTCACTGCTCTGCTGTGTTCTTATATGTTTGGGAAAAT